TGTTCCCTAATTAAAAGGAGGGAGGGCGATTTTAATTTCTTATCATGTTTCTGAGCCTTCAAATCACTCACAGTTGGCTTTGTTACTACAAACTAAAATGTAGAGAGGTTGACTCTGATTGAAAGCTGGGATTCTCAACTTCACCTATCAGTGGAGCGACAGAAAGGAAATGCTGCAGTGAGTGACTCCCTGGACAGGTCAATCTGAGATCCAGCAAAGGAAAAGGATTAAAGACCATGAGCCCACTAGACATCTTCTACACCAGCTGACCTCATTTTGGGTCAGACCAAGGGACTCTGCTGAGGCTGCAAAGACAAAGTCTTCCCTTTCTCAGTTACAGTTGTTCTTCAGAGTCTGTAGACTAGATCATTCTGTAGATCTATCACTACACATTCCTTACAGACTTAATTACATCCCATAATTTTGGAGGATGCAAATGCACCAATATCCAGATTGTAAGCCTCTGTCTCAGCCTTCTTAACCAAGGAAGATAACCAGAAAAGAAAAATCCTGGAACCACTTTGAACTATTTGACCCATTTGTTCTCTGTGAAGACCATCTTTAGAAGCAAAAGCTGTAGGTCTTTTTCTTTCTTTCTCACAAGACCCACAAGACACTCCAGTAAACAAAACCCAAGGTTTATACTCAAAATAAAATATTATATTAAAAAATTAATAAAAACTAGATTTCTTATAGGCCTAGACTGTGCCAGTTTCTCATAACTGTAAGAATAATTTCAACACCAATGAAGTAAATGTTAACCACCCAAAACAAATTGTCCTTTTACCTTAATTTATATTTTTTAATGTTTAAAGGTTGTTTCATCTCTTCAGTAAGAAGTATGCTAAAGTAGAAAAGGAACTCAGAAAACAGAAAGCTGCAAAGAGCTTATACTTTCATCATAAAAACATACCTTTTTTTTTATTTGGTTGGAATCAATATTGAAATGAGATTCCTACCAGAAAATAGCTTTTTCAGGCACACTAAATATCCCTTGGTTCAGCAGAATATTTAATCCCCTTGGATCAGGCACTTGGATTTTCTTAGATCATGCTGAGATAACAGCATTCTGCTGTGTTCTGGCACCATAAAATCCTTGCTTATGAAAATAAAAGAAAAATATGGCCTCTCTGGGAACATACATCTCTGAATTACTTTTTTCCATAGTTTATACATTGTAGTTTCAAAATCAATTTTTACACAGATATACCACATTCTCTTTATGAGTCATGGCAAAAGCTCTCCCGCACCATTTTACATGGGCCAAGTGTACACAGGACTCTTCAAAATGATGATCCTTTCACAATCTTGGCTGAGACTCCAGCTCACGCTGGGCAAGTGCCAACGAGTAACTGGAGTCAAACCCCCTCCAACAGCACCATCTAGTGAGAAGAAGAGAAAATAAACACATGCAAATTTAAACAGTTTTCACTGCATTCTGGAAACTAACAAAAGGCCAATTCTCTCCTAATCTCCCATTACAACTGCATTTAGGTATAGCTTTCATCAAGGCTCTTTGCCTTGTGAAATGTGGTGACAAGTAGAGAAAGATTCAGCAACTAATTGTAAGCTTTTTGTCTAAAACTGGAACACCACTTGGAACACATATAAACTTGCCTTTGTTTTTATTTTTTCAATGTTAAGCTTGCATTTTTCTTGTTGTTATGAAAAACAGAAGCATTTTTTAATGCTTTAAAAATATTGAAAACATAACATCTGTTTCCTGCTGTGGTATTGGGAGACAAGCAGCTCCAGAATAAAATAAAAATAATATATACACATAATCTTGACAACTTTTTGAGCTCTTTTTTTCATATAATTGTAATACCTTCCATGACTGTATTATTGAAGCATGAAAATTCTTATTCATGAAGAAGGGCACACTCAGCTTCTATTAGTAACTTTAACGTGACCAGGTTCCCTAGTTTCAAAGACTGTCTGCTGAAATTGTGTAGGTGCTTATATCTTTTACAGGGTCAGAGCCAAATGCTTTGGCTATGTGGAGGAAATAAAGCAATACAGTTCTTAATTGTGAGTGTTTTTAATGGTCTTGTTTAAATAACTTTTCAGTCAGGAGGAACAGATTCTGTTCCAGTTATGCCATCTCATTTTCAAGATGAATCAGGTTTACAGTGTCCATGCAGTAAGCTTGTCTAATCAGACATGCTCTAGGGGCTGTTCGGATCAGCATTACCCACATGCTAACTCTGAGCATTCATTTCCAGACATTCAGCATGATACTGTCATTTCTTGCATTTCCAGACCTATGGTTGCCTGGTCAAAGCCTCCCCCTTACCCCACAAAACATAAGTCCACAAATCTCAAGTAGGCAAAATTTCATTGAATATTTGGTAACACTATCTCAGCCTTATATTTGATGCACTACAAAGCATAATTCTTTTAGAGATAATTCTACCCTCTACAGGAAATTATATCCAAATAAAAGGCAATCTGCTCTTGACAACACCTCAGTAATTCTCCCTTTGGAATGCTGAGAGGGAAAAGTGGGCTCAATTTTATAATCTTCAAAAGAAAGAGTTAAAGGTCTCCACGCATTAATTCAATTATTTCAATTTCACACACTTGGGCAGTAAAATTCAAATTTCATAGGATTACTTGAGGTCTCAAACTGCAAACTCTACATGGCCAAAGGTTCCTTCATCCTCACTGCTCAGTTAAGCCCAAGAAAAAGCCTTCTTCAGGATTCCCATACTCCTCCTGGTAGGTTGCTGGTACACTGCTGCTCCTTTGTCCTTTCTCTCTCTTAGTATTAGTTTGTAAAACAAGTTACTTGCCCTTCTTTGCTCACCTACAATGACAATGCGACCTACTGGAATTGTCTGGCTCCAAATTAAAACTATTATTGTCAAATAGCTAAAAATCCTTCTACAAACACAACAGAGAAATTAATTCCCACTGAAGAGGAATAGAGAGAATGCTCTCCCCAGCTTTCATGTCTTGTTACAGCACCATTTGGGTTGAAAGCTTGCACTCTGCTTTTTCCTGTTTTGTGTTTTAATCTCCACATGCTATTACACTTTATTTTTCTTCTTTCTTTGTATTTTGCAGATTCTCTTCAACCAGTCATCTGTGACTAAATCTCCTCCCAAGGAATTCAGTTACATCTGATTTTGACAGCTTGTTATGGTATCTTGAAATCAAAGTAAAATCTTTTACAAAAATAACAGATTAGGAAATTTTACTAGGTAGACACCAACAGGAACCAGATTCTGACATTTATATTTGTGTTTCAAGATACTACAATTCCTTTGAGAGTTCCACCGAAACTGGACCGAGAAGAGAGCACATTGGCCCATCTCCTGCTTTGGATTGACGGATCCCTGTAATCCCTGTAGGTGTCATGAAAGTTACCACAGTTAATCCTTTAAGAAAACAATGTCAGAATATGCCAATAGTGAACAAACAAACAATTCCTTCTTTCCCCGAATAGGATTTCAATGTTAAAAATTAACCACAGTTTTTCTCATTATATAGAAGAGGAACGCTGATTCACCATGCACTGATTCTCTCACTACTTAGAGAGCAAGATAATAGAGAATAGTACAAATACACTATACATACCGCATATTACACACACTGTATGTAATCCTGAATGCATGGCATGCACATTGCACTGACTGTATTACCCAGACACAGACAACACGTACTGCACACAGTAGGGACAAACAAAACGAGCTCCATGATTTCACAGGGTGGGGGTGGGGAATGAAACCTCACCAGTTATGTTGTCACTAGGAGTTATTTCACTGAAGCAACACACAGATAAAATATTATGATATATTGCAAAGACGAGAGAGACATTATCACAAGTTAAATTCATCATAGAAATGAACAGAAGCATCCGTAACTACTAGTTATGGATTAAAAAAAAAAACAAACAGAACAACTGAAATCGTACAAAAACAGAACTCCAAACCACAAAACAGAAAAGGTACTGAGTGCAGAAGTGAGTGTATAGAAGCTCTTAGCTGGCACTAATAATGTTACACCTATGAGTTCAAATATCTTACAACTTAGTTAAAAATAATATACCAGGCATGAACATACTTCATGTAGAAATAGCATGATTGACACTAAATTTAATATGCTATATTCTTATTCTTACAGTGTTCATATTAGGTATAGAACTTCACCATATTTAATAGATAAACTGACAGTATATCTGGTGCATTCCTACAATCCTGTTTCGAACAAACATTTATATTGCTAGCTAGCATTTTTTCAATATAGTGACAGTGTTTTCACAAGTTAAATAATGGTCATTTATTTACGAATACAGAGAAATCTATGATTTAGCAGGGGGTACCCTACAACTGAAGTACAAATTTATATAAACATACAAATTTATATAAAATAAATTTATAAAATTTTTGGATGTTTAAAAACATGTCTCTCCAACTTCAAAACTAAGGCTCTTCAATGAAATCTAAGCTAGCAGGACAATAATACTCCTGGAGCATTTGTTGATGCATATCTGTTGCAGCATTAGTGTGCTATAAACATGGTGAATATGTTTCCTCTATTGAAGGGAAAGAGCATAAGACAGGTAGAGCAAGTTGTCTTAAAGTCAACGAACATACGTGAGTTTTCCACTTGTGAAACAAAGCTGGATGTGACAGCAACTAAAAGAAAGGACTTCCACTTAACTTTTCCCCCCCTATGGTCTGGTCTTCAGTATGGCTGAAAAAAAGATTAACCCAAACAGTATGAGGGATTCAAGCTTAATTAGAACAGCTGTATGTGTTGGACACACCACAGATGCACTCAGTATAGGTCATATGGGGTATGACTTGATTTTTGTGCTACCATGACATTCAGTGTTTCTGTGGCTTTACAGACACATTAGGGAAAAGCAAAAAAAGTCTCTTGTCAACTAAACCATAAGGAACATTCTCCTTATTGTGGTATTAGCTCAGGAGATCAGAATTTCCACATTAAGAACAAACATGGATCAATCACATTAATGTCCACATACATACCATCCAAAATAATGTCCCTGTAGCAAGAGCTGCATACTGTTCAATTGTAGAAAGCACACTGAAGATAAGGCATATCAGCACAATAAGGAAGCTGTAAATGAAAAGAAATTAAAAAATTAAAATAATGTAATGCAATGTAATAAGAACCTACAGGGAGGACAGGTAAGCAAGGCATTACAAATTATCTGTCCACACGGAAATGTCATTGATATTGGATTATCCCAAAATACAGCTCGTAACTTCTGCATGATCCTGCTTCCTGTTGAATAGTTTATTTCTCATCAGACACTGAGGTTTTGGGTTGGATATTATGAAATGAAACTAAACTATAACACTAGCTTTAGCCTCCCTCTAAGATTTGCTCTTTCCTAGCCCCTCAGGAAAATAGCATTCCTTGTTCTTTCCCATTGTAAGGTCTACTACGGCTGAATCACCACACAACCCCCCAGCATGTTTAAAATATTTGCCTTTTTGCTGTTCTAAATTCCAATTAACAGCAAAGAGAAATCCCAACTAAGCCAGAGCTTAAGAGGCTCTGCCCGCACTTTTATAACCAGTTTCTAAAAGGCCCCAAATAAATAAAGTCTGACATTTGGCATTTGAAACACAACCTAGGTCAGATTCCATTTTTAAATGAAACAAAATTTCACAGCAACTATCAGAGAGAGAATGGGAACATAAGGATTTGTTCCCTGGTACCCCTTGCCCAAGTGAGTCATAGAATCATATTGGGTTTGGGCTGGAAAGGGCCTTAAAGGTCATCTCATTCCAACCCCCTGCCATGGACAGGGACACCTTCCACTAGAATAGGTTGCTCAGAGCCCCATCCAACCTGGCCTTAAGCACTTTCAGGGATGGGGCACCCATAACTTCTCTAGGCAACCTGTTCCAGTGCCTCAACCCTCACTGTAAAATTGTTTTCCTAATATCTAATCTAAACCTGCCCCTTTGAGTTTGAAGCCATTCGCCCTTGTATTGTCACTACCTGCCCTTGTAAATAGTCTCTCTTCATCTTTCCTGTAGGCCCCCTTCAGGTACTGGAAGGCTGCAATTAGGTCACCCTGAAGCCTCCTCTTTTCCAGGCTGAACAATCCTAATTCTCTCAACCCTTCCTTGTAGGAGAGGTGCTCCATCCCTCTAATCATCTTGGTGGCCCTCCTCTGCACTCAACAGACTGATGTCCTTCCCATGCTGGGGACCCCAGAGCTGGATGCAACACTCCAGGAGTTGTCTCACCAGAGCAGAGCAGAAGGGCAGAATCATTTCCCTTCACCTGCTGGCAATGTTGCTTTTGTTGCAGCCCAGCACATAGTTGGCTTTCTGAGCTGCAAGTACACACTTGTCCTTAGGGAGGGGTGCCTGGTTCCCAACATAAGACTCAGGACAGCCAGGGCGTTGCAGGAAACTCAGCCCAACTGCCTGTAACCCCCAGAAATCCTCTTCCCCCAACTGGAAGGTAAGCCTGCCCAGCCCTATTGCCCTGCCTTCAGACTCCTTTAGCTGACCTTTAGACTCCTTCCCTGAGCAGCTTCAACTGTGCCCACTACCCCACAGGATTGCTCCTTACCTTAACAGAACCTAACACATCTGGGAAAGAAAACAAATAAAGACCCAAACTGGATGCTGTTCTCTACACTAGGCACAGGCAGCTCTCAGTTCCCAAAGAAGCCTGTGTTCCTTTTAAAAACATGACAAGAGCAATCAACAAGACTTAAAACATTCACTTGTTAAACACAGTGCTGGTTGTTAGGGCTGTTTTTCACAATTCTTTGAGACAAGCAACACCAATCCTTTGCACTCAACAGAAACTTGCTGCTAAATCCAGTAACTAAATCATGCACCCTGTCACAGATCTCTGTGTTAAGGCCGATGAGATAACTAGGCTGCTCAATGATCACCTCAAAACACAGCGCAGGCAAGTCCAATGCACACACTGAAAAATGATCACTGAATCATTTAGGTTAGAAAAGACCTCTGAGATGATCAACTCCAACCTTTGAGATCACTGAGTTCAACCTCCAAGATCGTACTACAGAATCATGGAAAGGAAGTTTGTAGGTAATTCGGCACAAAAATCAAATAGATAATGAACTGATGGATAATAAGGACAGACATTATCACATATCAACACAAACACATATATGAGAATATACTTTTACCTGGGCAATATATAAATACGTGTTTCTGATTTATCTCTAAAACCTTCTCATTTTACCTTGTACCTTTGAGCATTCTAAGCACAAATAAGCTGTGCAGACAAAGCAAGAGAAGGCAAAGATTATTCAGTCATTTGAAACATAACATAAAGGTTCCCCAAGTGTCCAGCCCTTCTATCTGTAATATTCCCACAATTGCATAAGACCAATACACGTGACAGCATGAACATAAATGGTTTCAGTTGCACAGAGACAGCTAAGACTCTCTGGATAGAAAGTCCAACATACAGAGAATTAGCAGTTCAAAGCAAAACAAGGAGTTGCAAAGGATGGTCTAAGCTGTCTGATTACACTTTGAACATTATTACTTACGACATCTTTTAATAATAACAGTTGTGTTAAAAAGTTTTACCCTGTCAATACCTGAAACCACAAGAGGGCACTGAAGCAAAGACAAACACACACAAGGGAAGGGACCCTCATAAGGATTTAAGGTGAAAGTTTGTGTCCCTAGGTGACAGGAAGATAAACTTAGGGTTGGGGCTAATCGTTTGCCAAATCTCTTTGCTTGTCACTACTACAGAAACTGATGGCTGATGTAAGAACTGCATCAAGTGCCAGTCACTGCTCTACCTACTTTTGTGGGTTTTCGTGCACATGGATCCATTACAGTCTTACTATTTTTTTTTTTTCACCTCCACAAAAACTCTTGCAATTTATTGTTGTGCTCTTTCCAAGCTGGTGCATGAGACACCTTCATACCCACAAATACACATCATGCCAAGCAAAACAAAGATGTTTGGTCAGATACTGCTGCTTCTCATGTTTCTTTGGCATTAGAGAGATGATACCCACAAGGCCCACTAGCAGAGCTATGCCAGTGGAGCACCACAGCTAAGATACTAAGCCTGTTACACTGGCATTACTATTTTGCTTAGCTCAACTGCATGTAAGGAAGAGAGGGCGCAAAATTAAGAGATTAAAAAAAAAATACACGTCGTCCTCCTCTGGCATGAGCCTGCTGTTTGTGGTTTCCAATACACAGCTCTCGCTGGAAAAACTCCTGGTTTTGTTTTGGTACTAGTGACTTCCTTTTCCACTTTTGAAGCATACGAAGGGAATGAGGCACCAGGAAAATGAAAAATATGAAGTTTGCTCCTTTTTTTGACAGCTTTCTCCTCTTTCTTCAGACAGAAGTGCAACACAGATCCTTAGTTACTGCCTAGACAGCAGACAAGTCCAAAGGAGTTAAATAACTACAAAAAACAGTTGCGAGGATAGACTCTGCCTCAAACTTGAATTTGCTCATGCGAAATCATCCTGGGGAAATTTAACTGGCAAGCCTCAGAAAAGTGAACACTATAATTTTCACGTGCCCAAAATAACCTTATCACTCTTGGTATCACTTTACTGTAATCGCTATTACTCCGTTTTCAAAAAAAAATTACTTGCCTTGATACAGATGCTAAGTATGTAAACTCTGCAACCAGCCAGGTAATATCAGATAAACTAATGCAACTGAAAACAACCTTACAACAAGAACAGTTTTAGACAAATACTAGTAGACCAGTGTATCAGCCCTACCCTAATCAACCCCATAATTCCAGATCGCTAAGTTAAGAGACCTTTGTTTCAGACAAACAGAGCCTCACCTGCACGTCAAAGCCCTCTTGTCAGTGACAGACACTGGACACCCTCAGGAAGTAAATTATATACCATCTGAAACAAGTTAGTGTGCAAAATATTTAGTTATTTCAATGGTTGAGTGGGTTGAAGGGGCTCTAAACACGGACATTTAAATTAGGCAAACTAAATGTGGAATGATAAGTATATAAACTGGGGGGAGTTGTCTGGGAACCCCCAACTGTTGCTCAGGGATATGCAGGGCATCAGTCAGCAGGTGGTAAGCAATTGTATTGCGCATCACTTGCTTCTCTTAGGTTTTATTTCGCTCTCTCTATCTCCCTTTCATTGCAATTATTATTAGTAGTAGCATTCATTATTATATTATCCTTTGTTTCAATTATTAAATTATTCTCATCTCAACCCATGATTTTTACTATTTTTCCCATTCTCCTCCCCACCAGTAGGCGGGGCAGGGTAATGGAGTGAGCAGCTCCGTGGTACTTCGTTGCCAGCTGGAAATAAACCACACCACTTCTCTGTCTCACAGTAAAAGATTAAAAATACCTTAGCTTCCACATAGTATCATTCAGAGACCTAAAGATCTAAGACCATTAGATCTATAGATCTGATGAATGGTTAACCAGTAGCATCAGCTACTCGGGAAAACTTTGCTGAGCATACAGCCTCATGCAGATTTCAGCAGTTGTATATGGGGTAACAGAACAAACATTCGCCATTAAATCTGCCCTGATGACTCCACCCCAGTACAGCACATTTTTCCTCTAAAGGAGAGAGAGTCAGCAGAACACGGGAATTTCTTTAGCAGTGAGAAAAGGCTTAGTCTCTGGGAAACCACCAATCTTTTATCTCCTCAAACCCATTGCTTGTTTACCCTCTATGCACAAACACGACCATCTTCAAGAAAGGAAGCAGAGTGATGATGAGTTCAGGCTTTCATCAGCTCTGATCTCACTCTTAGACTGGGGGGCCAAGCAAGCACTAGAGATGATGTGATAGAGTGCAAAGTTTTTCATATTGTCTCTCCCAGGTTATAAAGTAGAATCTGCTTGCATGTAGATAAATCACAGATATGGATGCCATCAGCAGATGCGTTCAAAAATACTTAGCTTTGTGGTTAAGTCATATTTAACAGTGCTACATTTCTTTTAACACAAAGAAATTTGCAAGTCTCTGATTATCTCTGTACTTCTCAATGTGAAACCATGAAACCACTGTTAAAGCAGCAGGGACACTTACAGAACAGCAGATGTTTTCTTTCATGGACTCAATTTTTGGTAGACTATTACAA